ATTATATTTCCCAAATCTTTTACATCATTAACTTTTACTTGAATGAGTTCATCGCATCTACAAGCTCCTGTGACTCCAAATATTAGTGCAACCTAAAAAATATAGAATTATTAATTTTGTAACAATAAAAAAAGTTGGAAAATGCAAGGAAATTCTAAAACATGACGTAATTTTAAGACATCTATATTTATGAGTTTTTACAACATTCTTCCAATGAGCTATCTTTATTTCCGAAAATTGTTTATTATTCTCGTAATGGATACTATAAAATAACTTGAAGTTTACAAATTATAACAAAATTTTGTATTACAAATATAAAAAGGTTAAATATATATCTACCTATAATTTAAAAAGTACATACCTTGGTTGCTAAATATTTATCATCAGGTGCTTTATTCAGGAATTCGTCAAATTCTTTTTTAGACAAAACTTTCGACTTTTTTGGTTTATAATTTTCACCTTGTCGTTTCAAAAATGTAATTAATTTTGAATATTTCTCAATATTTACATTATGTTTAATTTAGATTTTACCATTGAATATTGCGCCCATAAAGTTGAACTTTTCAGTGTTCTGGATAATCTTGTAAAATATGCTATCATCACATTTTCTGAATAAATATGTGCATTATTTTCTTTTGCCCAATTTATGAATTTATCATAAGCATTTTCATAAATTTTTCTCGACTTTGTTGGTATAAGTGTTGCCACTGATGTATTTGCAATTTCCAGTAATTCTGGTGGTGTGCACTGCATTTCTTCAGACATTTTAAAAACGACCCGACGCGACATCAAATTTCAACTGACACTTAATGAAACGTCAAAGCTTCTTGAATCTTTAATTCGTTGCTAGGATACTTACCTACACATTGTTACATTTTTTTACTAGTTAAAAAATGAAAAATATTTGTACTAGTTAAACAATAGGCTGCTTCTAAAGGAGGTGTTGCACTATATAATATAAGTATTATTATACGCTTGAAGAAAAACTTAATTGTCGTGCATTAAACACGAAAAATATATGCAAGCTAATATGTGTTGTATAAATTTAATTCGTATATATTATATTTAGTTCACTCAAATAATACTACAAGGAAACTACCGTGTATAAGCATAGGCTTCCCTCCTTCCTTAAATCATAGTCAAAGAAAACCAGTAATAAACCTAAATCATGTACAAAATTTGGTTCTTCTGCGGCAAAGATATTAATTTGATTCGAAATTTAGGGCCCCACTTTGGGGGCTAATGACTTCTCAGGGGTGCAACTTTGTATATAGGTAAGTTTGGTTAAATTACAATATTTTGGACACCCCTACATGCACCTGCCCTGTGTCGGTTCTTATGCGGGACACCCTGTATATCTAAACGTCAGAAACTTCAAATTCAAGGGTAAACTTGTAACTTAACTTCGGTTTTTTTCTAATAATCTTAACGAGGTAAATTCTGAGTTATTGTGTGAAGTGATTTGACCAATTTTATACTTATACCTTATGGTACTTCGATGCGTAACTCCCTGTTAGCAAACTGTGAAATATGATGATGGTTTCGTCGAGATCCCATATAAAAACCCTGTCCGTTGTCGATTCGGAACCCGCGGGAGATGTAGTATTCGTTCTTCTGCCCCGACCTCTTGTTCCTCTGCCGTCCGACGCAACACTTGCCGTTCCGTCTCTTGATCTTCTGGAGCATTCCGACTTAAGCGGCGAAATGGATCCATCGGTTAGCGCTACACCGTTCGATGAATTTTCTACAATCAACATTACCAATTAATTAGCCTCAAGTCGAATAACATCACGCCTTTATCTATCTCGGTATACTTCAGCATGGTATAAAAATTTAAATGCAAACGGGATGAATCAAAAATAGATATTAAACTGACATTTTCTTGTTCCTAAGTTTTATAAATTACATAGATTCGTAGGGAGAAGGAGAAATTGCTAAATTTAGCATAGTGAATTGTATTCTAAAAAAAATACTGCTTGTCTTTCAAAAAAAGCGCAATCTCGTATAAATGAATTTTTTTAATATTCCCCTAGTTTCATAAATTTGTAGCATTTTCTCCTAGATCTAGGTAAAAATGCTCATATCTGGCTTCACACAGTGATTGTAGAGTCGAGGTTGGGGGATATTTGGCTCTTAACTCTTTCAGTCTCAGTGGTGCATAAAATGTACCGCCGTTTTTATTCCTCCAGGTCTTGGTGGTACATATTTTGTACCAGTTATTCAAAAACATTTCCCGACCGTCACAGCCGACTTAGAATTGTACCTCCTTTTAAAATGTGTTATATTGGTTGCCTACTAAATATTGTTCTGAATATATTTGAATTTGTGAGCATTGACTTTGTAGAGAAGTAGTTATAAGTATTCTTTACAATAAAATCATTACAATTCACAAAAGCTATAGTTTAATTTTTTGTGACGCTTGAGTAAAAAAATTAATATAATTTCTGTGCCTGAAAGAGTTAACAGAACTGGACTCCCGAGATAATGGGCCAAAATTCATGAGTATACCCGAACCACAAATATTGCGATTTAGCCGAACGTACCGTAGTCCAAAAGTTGATAGTTAAAGAGATTAAATGTAAAATATTATCTTAATTTATTTCTATTTATTTCTTAATAAATGCAAATGTCTACACAAAATTTTGGGGTTTGGGGTTCTTTGGATAAAGGAATTGAAATTTGTTTTGGAAATTGACATTTTGGTTATAGTTCATAGAGGGCGCCAGCTGCCGTAGATTGAAGGTGTTGGAAACGACCTAACTTTTTTGTACTTTAAGGTATCTCATCTTTGGTATCACATTCTTATTTTCCAACTTTTTTTACACAAAAAAGGTAGACTTTATGAAAGTAGCTGTCTCGCACCGTTTCCGAAATATTTGGCTTTGAAATTTCCGATGCTAATATTTAGTTGAAATAATTAAAATAATTTAGAAATGGTCAAAAACAAGTGTTTATTTAGAATTAAAAATTGTAATGAACAGTAAAATAGTAAACATTAGTAAAAAATATGCCTTTTTGACAATAATTGCTCAAAATGTCCACCTTTAACTTCAATACATTTATCAACACGTTTATTAAAAGATTGTCTTATTTTAAAGTATAAATCCTTAATGCGAAATGACTGCAGCATTTAAAACCTGCTACTAAAGTTCTTCTCAAGTGTTTATAGTTTCTCCTTAAACAACTGACTTCATATAACTCCAAAAATGAAAACCTCGGCATTCTATCTAACATTTATGTATACGAGTATACAATTTAATTTGTAAGCTAAGATGTAATTTTAATTAGATACGAATAATACTTAATATAAATTTGCATACAAATGACAGCAATAAGACAAGTGGAAGCCGTCAATTATTTGATTTTCGTCCAAATCCTATTTAAGAAACTTTATCGCTAAATTAATAATACCTGTAGGTACTTAATTGTAATTTAATGCAACAGCATTGGAAGTTTCAAAGCCAAATGCAAATATCTACACAAAATTTTGGGGTTTGGGGTTCTTTGGAAGTTTCAAAGCCAAATATTTCGAAAACGGTGCGAGACAGCTACTTTAATAAAGTATACCTTTTTTGTGTAAAAAAAGTTGAAAAACAAGAATGTGTTACCAAAGATGAGATACCTTAAAGTACAAAAAGTTATGTCGTTTCCAACACCTTCAATCTACTGCAGCTAGCGCCCTCTATGAACTTTAACCAAAATGTGAACAGATTTCAATTCCTCTACTCAAAGAACTCCAATCCCCAAAATTTTGTGAGGATATTTGCATTTGTTAAGGTATAAATTAGAAAAAACTGAAATAATATTTTACTTTTAACACCCTGTATTTCTTTAACTATCAACCTTTGGACTAAGGTAAGTTCGGCTAAATCGCAATATTTTTACTTGGGGAATCTACCCATGAATTTTGGCCCATTACCTCGGGACCACCCTGTATACAGGCTGTCTACTGTAAGAGGACCACTCCTATGTACCTCGCTTAAAACACGATGCACATCAAAAATCTGTATATATGTTTTTTGTTGCATTTTTTGAGGCTTTTATGCTCGTAAAAACAAATATGTGAGTAATATTAAAAAAACCGGAAAAGTGCCGCAAGTTTAGGGCCGTCTAACTTTTTTATTTTAAGAGATAGAGAAAATTTATTTTAATAAAATTTCAGCAAAATTGACATTTAAAAACACAGCCTGTATATTTACTCTATAAAATTTAGAGTCCAGACACGGTTTTGGTATGAAATTTATAAGTCCTAATCCAACAAAAATAAAGTTTACATTTCTTGCTCTGAAAATTTAGCCGCGAATTTAGCCTCAGAAAAATATAGCAGTGCAGGATTTCCGAGTACAAGCTTTTTCAGGATTTATAAAAAACATATTTCCAGCCATTTCCAGTCGGTAGAGCAGTTGAGGTGGATTTGATTTGAAGTTAAATATTTCTTTGCGCGGAATGTTGCCAAATATTATGTAGAATGAGATCCCGAGTTTGCCTATTGCAAAAAACAAGAGGCAAATTCAGTGAAACAATAAATATCCGAAATTACGAAAAATAGCCCATTTTGCGCCACATTGTTCGCTATAACTTTGAAACAAAGCTTTAAATAAAAAAAATTGCTCTTGATTTTTTGTTTATTTTGTAATTTCCTATAAAGTTACAACAGCGAATTGAAAAAATCGAAATTTGCATTAAAAATGGGCGAAACATAAGAAAAAACATATGAATATTTTAACCATTTTGTAAATTTGCAGATAGAACATGAAAAAATAACATGACAAGTTCCTATAAAATTTTTTCGTACAGGCCCTCCCTACGGAGATATGTGTCCCTGAAGGACGCCGCCGCTGGAAATCGATTTTTCTTGAATAACTTTTAAAGTACTTACTAAATATAATTTAATAAAAATTGTATGTGATGGACACTAGTAAGGACCTCTTAAAATAGTGTCCTTGAAACATATTTAGCTTTTTTAGCTTAGCAGTTGATAAAAAAATATATAATTTTTCCTTTGCCCTGCTTAAAGAAAGCCGATGTGGTGTCACAACCAGGAAACGCATGAATAAATGCTATTAATTTTTTTTAAATATCATTTACAAAGGCAGAAAAGGTTAAATAAACAATTTTCGTCCATATTCAATGCAAATTTCGATTTTTTCAATTCGCTGTTGTTGTAACTTTATAGGAAATTATCAAATAAAAAATCAAGTGCATTTTTTTTTATTTAAAGCTCTGTTTTAAAGTTATAGCGAAAAATGTGGCGAAAAATGGGCCATTTTTTGTAATTTTTGGATATTTGTTCTACTGAATTTGACTCTTGTTTTTTGCAATAGGCAAACTCGGGATCTCGTTCTACATACAGTGGCTATATGCAAGACAGTGGCGACAATAGCGACTAAACCCCGCCCATCCGCCATGTTACATCCAATGTCAAATTGAAAGTAACTTTTTTAAAAAATAAATTATGTACAAAAGTATTTTTCTTTGAAATTTTACGCACAGTTTTAGGCAAATAACTCCCTTGGAAAGTGATTTTAAATAATGAATGAATATAGAATCTACTTGCGCAACAGGGAAGGATAAATATATAATAATAACAACTATTGGTTTATATTTTCTAGGCAAGTAAATTTAAGCATACCTACATTACACAATGAAATTTATTGGGTTTACATTAGAAAAACGAATACTTAATACTAGTGATAGTATTTGTTACAATAAATGTCCAGCAACACTTTTACTTGCAAGCTTTTTGCATGCTTTTTGACATTTTTTGGAAGCTATTTTTAATCGGAACATAATAAATCTTTTAACAATTTTATTTTTGATCTGATGACAATTTGGTAGATCTAAATTTAAACCAGACATTTCTTTTAAGAAAAACTCTTTTAAATTTATGTTTTGTCAAGATTCAATCGCAAAAAATGTTGTAAAAGTACTTTCCATCTGCAAGAAGAAACAAAATACCGCTTCATTGCAAAAAAGACTGAATGTTCTCTAAATCTCTTAAGTACGCTAAATTTTGAACATGTTTTATAGATCGGCGTTTTAGAACCAACAGCATGCAGACAGTTTGTACAAGTTTTTGACGTTTTAACGATACTTTGGGCAATATATCCGCACACATTATAAAGATAATTTAATTCACTAAAACTAAGATTAAATTTTAGTTCTTCTATGTTAGCAGGAACCTTAACTTCCTTATAAGTAGGTCTTATATTTTTTGTTATGGTGTCCAAAAAGCCTGAAAGAAATTCACGGTCATCGTCCTCATGAAGCTTCTGCAGACATTATAACTATCCCTTAGCACAGAATACCCAATAGTTTCACTAGTAATCACCAAAATTAAAATAAAACAATACAAATATTGAATAACACCATATGAACGCTCCTGACACCATGACATTTCACAGATGAATTTGACACTGGATGCAACATGGCAGCTAAAATCACGTGGACCAATTAAAAATGATACACTCTATTGTCGCCACTGTCTTGTATAGAGTCACTGTAGTTCTACATAATATTTGGCAACTTTCGGCGCATATAAATAAATGTTTAACTTCAAATCGAATCCACGGATGCTTACTTTCTCTGCTCTACAGCCTGGACTGACGTAGTATTATTGTATTATGAAGGATGTATTAAACTTACCAAGTGCCGAAGACGTAGTGAGTTGATAAGTACTGTTATTGCACGTATTCCCACTGGAACTAGATGGGTTAACGTACGATGAATAATTTTGTCCGTAATAAGTTGATGCGAACTGACTATTTTGCGGATCGGCAAAGGTAGACCCGTATGTGCCATATTCCACTGCCTGAAAATGATAAGTCGTCAGATGAATAACTTGCAATTAGTTATAAGCGGATCAGATGAAGTTTAACCTGCGAGGAAAATCCTTGTACGAAACTTGAGGATGCTGAACCAGAATAGGAGGCATACGATGCGTACTGATTCGAATGGGTAGATGCGTTGAAGGGGGCAGCGGCGGAATATGGCGACGTAATGTACGCCGCACTTGACTTGCAAGATGAATTTAACGATTTCGACGAAGCTAACGAAGAATAAGCGTACGTCGATGGGTTGTAAAATGGGGAAGAAGTGTTTAAGTACGGTGTTGGGGAACTGGCAGACCCGTATGCTTGTTGCATGCTGAAAAAGAAACACATCCTATATTTTCAAAGGCGACGCTTCCTTGGGTAAAAAATTAACTGATTTAAAAGTTACGGACCTTCAAATGTTTTGCTTCATTTACATAAAATAACTCCGTCACTTTTTCTTATCTAAAATACAGAAGTCGCTAAAGATACTGGAAGCAATCTTTTGTTTTTTTGCCGTATTTGTATTTTTTTTATTTACACTACAAATTTAGCGAAAAGATAAAGTGTAATTAGACCAGAATGCTCCAAAAACTCTCCTACCCATAATTATTGTTAACAGCACTTCTTTACAATAAATAAAGCTAGGTTTCATAAAACATTCCGGCTTTTCCAAAAGATCTATCAATAAAAAAAATACAAAACAGAATACTTTTTAGCAACCTCTATGTTCTAACATTTCGTATAGGCTGACAGAATCATGCGATATTACATATTTTATTATAAATATACAGGGTGGTCCGAATTTTATGCAGGAAACTTCGAGGACAGATAGATCTCTTTAAAATAATAGGACTTTGCCTTTTAAACATAGGTCTGGAAGGGCCTCATTTTAGAGATACAGGGTGTTGAACTTGTTGAAAAAAAAAAATTTTTTTTGCTTATATATCAGGAATCTATTAACCGATCTCAATAAAATTTGGTACAAATAATGTACGATAGTAAGCCTTGCATTCCCTAAAATATGAGCTTTAAAGGTTTAACCAGTGGTGTACAACTGGACAGGGGTCACCCCCTGTTTATAAAAAAAGCTACGCCACTGTATTTTTTACAAGTTATTGTAACGGATTCATATTCTAATACGCTAAATACGTAAAAAAGGTAACTTGAATTTTTTCCCTAAGGTTCACCATTTTCAAGTTATTCATACAAATACAATCCCCTTGAAGCAGACGCTTCAAATCATATTACAAACATATTTATGGTTATTGGTGTGTTTTAGTTTTCCCTGGAGGCATTACCTTTACAAATAAGAACAATTTAAATCAAAATAATAATAAAAATACATTTACCAAGCAACAACAACTAAACAAGAAACAAAATTGACGTTACGTATTTACAGCAATTGTTTAAAATGTGAACCACCCACATCGATACATTTCTGACATCTTCTATTAATGGAAATAGGTGGTGGTTTTCTTTTAATTCATTACACCCGACTTCTATTCGCTGCAGTAGTTGTGATCAATTGGAGTAAAGTAAACTTTTCAGGTAGGTCACCCCAAACATAGAAGTCCAGGGAGTTTAGATCTGGCGATCTGGCTGGCCAAGACACTGGACTTTTGGTCTTCTACCTATCCAACATCTCATATAATTTTCATTAAGACATTCTTGTATTATTCTCCTAAAATGCGCAGGAGCACCATCCATTTGTATTCAGCTATTTTCTCGTATATTTAATGGAACATCCTCTAATAATTCAAAGAAATGGTTTTCTAGAAAGTTTAAAAATGACTCCGAATTTCATGAGTATTTTCTTGTGACCAAATATCCAGATTGTGAAAATTCACTACCCGTCGCCTTGTGATCGGTCCAAAGTATTTCTAGTCAGAATTGAAACAACCACTGATAAAAATTCAAGCGTCTCTCGGCATCTCCCGGAAGTAAATTTTGCACAGGTTGTAAATGGTACGAATTTTTGCCATCCTTACGTAGAACTTTTCAAATTTTCGATTTACTCACCCTAAGTTGCCGAGACGTTCTTCGTGTACTTACCCGAGGATCGTCGTCCAATGTTCTTAACATTTCATTTCTGTGCCTTTCATTCCTTTGTCGTGATTTTCCAAATATTGTTTTAATCCAAAAAGATGAAAACGATGAGTGTAAAGAATTTTGTTGATGTGCTTACAAATTGCACTTACTTTTAAGCATAAACATAAATATTCTTGTAATATTATGTTTAGAAGTGTCTGCCACAAGGGGATTGTATTGGTATGAATAACTTGAGAACGGTGAACTTTAGGGAAAAAATTCAAGTTACCTTTTTTACGTATTTTGTGCATTAGAATATAGATTCGTTACAATAGCTTGTAAAAAATACAGTGGCGTAGGTTTTTTTTATAAAAAAGGGGGTGACCCTGTCCAGTTGTACACCACTGGTTGAATCTTTAGAGCTCATATTTTAGGAAATGCAAGGCCTACTATCATACATTATCTGTACTAAATTTTATTGAAATCGGTCGATGGATTCCGGAGATATAAACAAAAAATAAGTTTTTTTAACAACTTTAACACCCTGTATCTCTAAAACGAGGCCGTTCCAGACCTATGTTTATAAGGCAAACACCTACTATTTTAAAAAGATCTACCTACCCTCGAAGTTTCCTGCATAAAATTCGGACCACCCTGTATACATGGTGTCAGATGAGGTCAAAATAATATCAGTTCTTCATATAGATTTTTTCCATACAAGTTACGGGCCCTCAAAGTTGAAAATTAAAATCATAATTTTATTTACAGTCTCTAAACTATTAACTTCAGCATGATGCAAATTTGGTGATCCACAACACATGCGTACAGCTTGTTTTTGATATAGTAAGTGAAACTTCATTGTGCCCAGAACGCCAGGGACGGACTATGCCCAATGGTTAACAACCCAGAATTTTTACATAGATGACGACGGCAAACTGTCTGTATAAAAATAAGTTCTCTGAAGTATTTGCCAATTATGGTTCAACTGGTAAAATTAACAATTTAGGAAATATTATGGCACAGTGCATTCCACCATTGTTTGTTTTTCATTTTTAATTGCACTTAATTACTAGATATGTTAGGAGCGTACATATTTTTAAAACAAGAGCCTAGAAAATCTTACTGTAATTTTAATCTAATGTAATTTTCACTAACAAAATTTGACAAACACACTTTACATATAAAAATAAGTTAAAAAATAAATTAAAAGAAAGAAAACTGTGAATATCCATTTTGAATATGAGCACCTTCCACCTCCACACACTTCCTATGACTACATGAAAAAGTATTTCTGTGGTAATAATAGGTCCATACGTTTTTGAGGAACATCTGAATGGACATACATATTTGGAGTTTTTGCAAAATAATTTGCAGCCACTATTAGATGATGTTCCATTAGATACCCGAAGAAACGTTTGGTTCATGCACAATGGGGCTCCTCCCCATTTCTATCTTGATGTACGAAATTATTTAACCATTGTGTCTAATAATAAGTGGATTGGAAGTGGAGGCGCAATTTCATGGGCACCACGTTCTCCAGACTTTAACCCGATGGACTTCTTATGTCGCGATACTTGAAAAGTTTAGTGTACGCAACTCCAGTACAGACAAGGGATGAATTGCTGCAAATAATTAATTTCCATTGTAATAATATTAGACCTACTTCAGAAATACTTTTTCTGCTGTACAGGGTGGGCAAATAAGCGAGGTAAGCGGCTGTATCTCAGAAACTAGTGATCGTAGAGAGCTACGGTAAAAAAATTTATAGGTAAAGTGGGCAAGGGAAAATGCTGGAAATTATTTTCAAGTTTCCAAGATGGCCGCCAGTGGGCGTTTCCACCATCTTGAATTACATAAAGTTACGTTTCTCGCGATTTTCCCCAATGAATGTAACAAAAAAGTATTTGCGTTTTAATGTTAACTTAAAGTCGAACATTTTTTGTAAAAACAATTTTTCTCTATCTTTCGAAATAAAGTGGTGGGGGGTATTTGAATGTTGTTTTAAATAAATGCCTGTAACTTCGAAACGGCTTAATGGATTTGGATAAATTTGGTATCATTGAAAAGAGCATTTCTTGGGCTTTTAGGTTTCTCGTAATCATGACAGTTGCGACCTACACGGCCGCCGATAGAGGGCGTTATTCGATATTATAACCAAAATATTGGATTTTCTCAAAAAATTTAAATGCGATGATATGACTTTTTTTAGACTAGAAAATAGACAAATGACCAACCAATAAGCCTGCGCAAACCGCATCTTAATATCTTTTTCCTAACTCAAATTATTAAAAAAAAATACTAAACCAGGAAAATTCATATATCCCCATTTAAAAATGCATCGGTTGCTTTCGATAAGAAGGCAAGTAGTAGGCCATGGAAATAAAAGACAAACTCCTCTCTAAAATATTCACAAGAAATGTCAGTTTATTTAGTGCTGTGATTTTAAGTCGCACGTTTTCGTATTTATAAGCGATTTTCCTTTTAAATAAAGTTGTGGTCCTGAAAAGGACCGATTTTGAAAAAAGATTAATGCCTTCTGTGTTCAAATTGCCTTCCGTCATATTCCACACATTGTTCCAGTCTTTCTTGAGTCGACAGAACCGCAGCCTCGATTTCTACCGCTGATAGTTGACGAATTGAGTTTCGAATTCTGTTTTCCATATCCATTCGTGTTGTTGGTGGAGTTTGAAAAACAATGTCTTTTAAGCGTCCCCACAAGTAAAAATCAAGACATGTCAAGTCCGGAGATCTTGCCGGCCAAGGAAATAGGCTTCCCCTTCCTATCCAGCGTTCTCGAAAGGTCCCGTTAATATGGTTTCGGACATTAATTGAATAATGTGCCGGACAACCATCTAATTGCAGAAACATAGTTCTCCTAGTTTCGAGTGGCACATCTTCCAACAAAATTGGCAAGTCGTTGATCAAAAACTCTAAGAAGCGGTTACCAGTTAAAGCTTGATCAAAAAAATAAGGTCCAATAATTCTGTCCCCAATGATACCGCACCACACATTTAGGCTCCAGCGTCCCTGGTGCTGCACTTCTCTTAACCAATGCGGATTTTCAGCGGACCAATAATGCATATTATGACGGTTTACTCTACCATCACTACTAAAGGTAGCCTCGTCGGTCCAGAGAATTTCCGTTAAGAAATTTCTGTTTTCCTCAAGCATGCCTAGCATCCATTGACAATAATTTAATCTATTATCGAAATCTTGTTCATTTAGCGCCTGGTGCAAAACTATGTGGTAAGGATGTAATCTAAAAGTAAAAAACAACATATGCGTAAAAATAATATAATCAGAATAACACTGAATTGTGTATTTGAGAGTATGTGCTAAGATACTTGGAATAAGATAAAATTATTTACCTATAATCTTTCAAAATATTTCTAACAGTTGTTCGTGCTATTCCCAAGTCTAGAGACAATGTTCTAGTTCCTACATGTCTATCAAATTCTATGTAAGCCAAGACATTGATAATGTTTTCTTCGGTCCTTCCATTGCGACGCCTGCGACGTTTAGGACGACGAAAACTTCCAGTATCGCGTAATCGCTGTACCAAGCGCGGAAACATTCTTCTCCCGTAATGACGGCGATCTGGATACCGTGCCGCGTACTGTCTTGCAGCTATAGCTGCATTTTGAAAACACTCGAAATAAATCGCAATCATGTCAACGGCTTCATTATTTGTGAGAGGCATTTTGATTAAAAAGTACTCAAATTATACGCAATCAACAATATTAGGCTGCGTGTGACAAAAGTTTGACGTTACTTGGCAATATTTTTGTTAGGCGATTGTCGTGTCCATGGCCTACTACTTGCCTTCTTATCGAAAGCAACCGATGCATTTTTAAATGGGGATATATGAATTTTCCTGGTTTAGTATTTTTTTAAATAATTTGAGTTAGGAAAAAGATATTAAGATGCGGTTTGCGCAGGCTTATTGGTTGGTCATTTGTCTATTTTCTAGTCTAAAAAAAGTCATATCATCGCATTTAAATTTTTTGAGAAAATCCAATATTTTGGTTATAATATCGAATAACGCCCTCTATCGGCGGCCGTGTAGGTCGCAACTGTCATGATTACGAGAAACCTAAAAGCCCAAGAAATGCTCTTTTCAATGATACCAAATTTATCCAAATCCATTAAGCCGTTTCGAAGTTACAGGCATTTATTTAAAACAACATTCAAATACCCCCCACCACTTTATTTCGAAAGATAGAGAAAAATTGTTTTTACAAAAAATATTCGACTTTAAGTTAACATTAAAACGCAAATACTTTTTTGTTACATTCATTGGGGAAAATCGCGAGAAACGTAACTTTATGTAATTCAAGATGGTGGAAACGCCCACTGGCGGCCATCTTGGAAACTTGAAAATAATTTCCAGCATTTTCCCTTGCCCACTTTACCTATAAAATTTTTTACCGTAGCTCTCTACGATCATTAGTTTCTGAGATACAGCCGCTTACCTCGCTTATTTGCCCACCCTGTACAATCAAATAACATTCGTAGACTTAGGAAGTATGTCGAGGTGAAAAGTACTCATATTTAAAATGTATTTTGATAATGTTCCTTCTTTAAAATTATTTTTTAACTTTAACATATTCTTGTTTTGTTTTTCAATTATGTGTTAAGTGTATTTTTTAACTTATTTTTATATGTAAAGTGTATTCGTCAAATTTTGTTAGTGAAAATTACATTAGCACACAGTACTATTTTCTAGGCTCTTGTTTTAAAAATATGTACGCTTCTAACGTAGTAATTAAGTGTAATTAAAAATTAAAAACAAAAAATGGTGGAGGCGCAGCTCGAGTACACTGTGACATAAAATCACAAATATTTCCTAAACTGTTAATTTTACCGAGTTGGACCAAGAGGGTATTATCGTTGGCAAATTCTTCAGGGAACTTATTTTTGATACAGGCAGATTGCATCTATATGTACTCGAATTTTTTTGTATCAAGTACCGGGACACCCTGTATAATAGAGCCCTGAAATGTCATCATCGCTTGGTAACTATTATTAATTATTATCTTCATCCCTCACAAATTTGAAAAAAAAAATGGATATTTTTCTACAAGTCGATAAACTTTTAAAAAATGCGATATCAATTTTGTAGTGTACATCTAGAATGCCATGAAATTAAAAACAGTTGGGTGGAGTAACAGGAAAAAATATTTATTTCGAGGCCGAGATATTTTGTATGTAAAAAATTAAATATACGGGCTACAAATATAACAGAAATGATATATTTTCTGTTAAGGTTATACTCACTCTTCATTTAATAATAACCAATACATATTTTTTTCTTGGAATTTATTACACATGCTACAGTGCGCTGACCGCTTTCCCCTTTTTATTATTTCATGGCACAAAATTCTTTTTATGGGCGTAAAAAAACCGATATATATCTTTCCTCCAATTTTATACACAACTATTTTGGGGAACACAGAATAATCGTACAGTGTAAATCCCTAAATTTTTTTTTCTGAAAATTGTGCCCTTATAAAACATAACCAGATACACCTTTGAAGACCTGTATCTTTTTAAGAAAACAAAATTGTACAAATTTAATTTCACCCAAGGAAGCAACCTTTGGTATGGTTCATTCGCTTCCGGACACTGTGTACATGCTGGATTTTTATACAGAATTAAAAAAACGCAAAATATACGTTATCTCAATTTGACACCTAGTACATATATACAGGGTGTAATTTTACGTGGGGTTAAATTTTTTAAGAGTAACATTAGCTACGTGTTCCCCTGAATACCAATGAGAAAGATTTTTTTTCAACAAATATATGTAGATACCTGTAGTCGAGTTAGTAGTTTTTTAAACTGACCTTATATTCTTGTTTACGCCGCCACTGGTCAGCTCCCAAACTCAGTTGTATGTGCGCGCTTATTACTATTGTTATCTTTTTCAACAAAGTATATGAAACCAACGGAGTGACAGAGAACGAAACTGCAGTGGAGAATAATTTTATAAAAATAGATTTCTTTTTTATGAATTTTGTACACGTTGCTTTAAACTCTTAAAGTCACCATATTATTTTGTTATCTTTAGAGACGAAGCACTGAAAATCAAAAAAACGAGTGCTTTTTAAAAATTGATATTTTTTGCATCATAAATAAATACAATAAATATTGACAGATATTGATAGACATAAATTACTAACTGAAAGTAAAACTAATTTATGTTTTAAAATATTTATTTTTGCTGATAAAATTGAACTAAGTAGATAATAAAAAACAAATAACAGTACTTACTAATCTGATAGACTTAAAATATTTTATTAAATAATTTCTAGTTTCTAATAAAAATTATTTGTTACTATATTTTTAAAAAACTGTGTTTAGTTTATGAATCTGAGTGTTGATGACCTCTGATATTGACCTAGTTAGTTGAACTACATAAATATCACCGGAATATGGCAAAAATGGCGCTAGGTGGGCAATAAAACAAACAGTCAATTCGGCGATACGAGATTGGCGAATTTGTCACCGCTTCATTTAATTGCATTTATTTTAGTTTTTATTTTATCGGTTTACAAAAAAATGTTTGTAATTAGGTAGATAATATCGATACTTTCTACGTGAAATTTTAGTTATTATTTGTGTAATGTAACTGTATTAAAATCATTCATTTTTATGTAGTGTTTAAGTATGTTTGTGTCTCCATCTTCACTGTTAAATTTCTGTATGATACTAAGAAAAAATATGTATAGAAATTAAGAGAGATGATTGAAGACCCCATTGAAAGTTACACCCTGTATAGATACCTGTTATAATATGAGTGGGCTGACGAATACGAGGGAAGATGGTAGTCTTTTTCGTATAAATTTCCTAAATCAACGGACGAACCATAGAATGTTGAAGAATCCTGAGCCACCGAAGAGTTTTCTTCGGATTCCGCTAATCCTGGACTTTTTATTTCACTTTTTACACCTAAAATAAAACGCACTGGGATGGACAATATTTATTAGTTCTTAAGCAGAGTCGATTACAATAACAAGAAAGAAAATAAAAAAAATCTTCGATAAATTCTTTCTTGTGTTGAGGAATTCTCTATTCTACTAATTTGAAACCCATGTAGATTATAGGCATTTTTGCTATTACGCGGTATATCTACACTTCTTACCTTGAACATCTAGTGACCATGAAGTAAAGTTTGTTGAAGGAATGCAAGATGGAGTTGACGCGGACAATGTGTCTGATACAGTGGAAGAAGCGACAGGAGGAGGCGAATCACACGAAGACGACGATCGTGGACTGCCCGCCGAATCGGCCACTGATCTGAAAAATAAATTTATTGAGAGACATGATAAGATGTACATACAATCTAGAATTGAATCACTGTAAGTCTATCTCTGCCGTAATACAAACAATATACCTACACCTAGTCTAAAGGAACATAATACAAGACATCTCTCATCTCGTGAGTCAAAAACTTTTATTAGTTAACTTTTCTATTTAAACAAATAAGTGAGGAAAACAGTTTTTTCACTTTGCAGGGAAAACCATCAATTTTCGCGAAAAGTGACTCACAGACAGCTTGTAGGGAGTAAAATTATCTACAAAATGAGACTTGTTAAATTAAAATCGGTTAATAAACAAAAAAGTTATTACAAAAAAACAAGAAAAGTGTCAATTTTTTGTCATACTTCAAAAGTGTGCCAAAAGTGGGCGCTGTAGGTGCAATAGTTTTCGCACAATTCTATTTGTTTATAACGGAGGCTCCAAAACTTATGAACTTTAAGCCTCTGTACAGGCGTTAATTTTCAACCAAACGTGATTCTGAAAGCGTCATTGTAATCTTAAAGACGTAATAAGATAAGAGAAGATACTCGCTAAGTAAACTGTCCGGCCGGCGGCGTGGTGGTGGGGTGAGGAAGTTCAAATTGATGCGCGCTGTAAATTTTGCAATATCTCGGCTTCTATTCATCGTAGAGACTTATTATTTTTTTTAAACTGGGGTAGCTCGACGAAAAAATAACAATGGGCATATTTACGAATATCTTTTATAGTACATTTTTTTTAATTTACAAAAATGTCACAAAAATTATTGTTAAACGAAATATTGGACGAGCTTCCCCCACCCCCACGCCGATGGCCGCCGGACAGTTTACTTAGCGAGTACCTTCTCTTTAAAGGGCTCGTGAGTCGTTAGTTTTCCACATTTTTCAATACAATTCAAGGGAAATCGTAGTTTACGTCGTAAACTTTATTTTGCGAAAAATTCAAGTCTTAATATTTATAAACAATAGCGCTACAATTTAAAAAAAAATCTTATCATGGCTCCTGTTGGTCGTAGAGGGTATTTTTTTTGTTTTAAAACTATATTTTTTTGCCAGCTATCCATTGCATCTATTTTCGGTGAGATAGCATAAATAGCAACAATGTTATTCAAATTGTTTATAAGCAAAAACGCACGGTTTTTTTAATGCACAATTTGAGAATGTTAATATCAAAAAAACGGTGGTATTTTTTAATATGTCGCTTAATTACTTCTTTAAGATTACAATGACGCTTTCAGAATCATGTTTGGTTGAAAATTAACGCCTGTACAGAGGCTTAAAGTTCATAACTTTTGGAGCCTCCGTTATAAACAAATAGAATTGTGCGAAAACTATTGCACCTACAGCTCCCACTTTTGAAGTATGACAAAACCCTCAACTTGTCATAGGTATTAATAAAATTTTAACAATAAATGCGATAGTTATAAACAAATTAAAAAATGGGCACTTTTCTTGTTTTTTTTGCAATAACTTTTTTGTTTATTAACCGATTTTAATTTAACAAGTTTCATTTTGTAGATAATTTTACTCCCTACAAGCTGTATGCGAGTCACTTTTCGCTAAAATTGATGGTTTTCCCTGCAAAGTGAAAAAACTGTTTTCCTCACTATTTGTTTAAATAGAAAAGTTAGCTAATAAAAGTTTTTGACTCACGAGATGAGAGATGTCTTGTATTATGTTCCTTTAGACAATTTTACAATAATCTCGCGGATAGGACTTTTTTCGAGTAAAAATTGAATTTGCTTGGTCTAATAAGAGATATAATATTCAGCACACCCGCGGACATGTTATGACGTCACATGGAGATTAGCTAGCGATTTGTGGATATTAGCCGTGCGATATTGACGGGCGGTACCTTTAATAATGGTAACCTATGCTAATAGCTTAGTTTTCGTGTCGTGTGTATCGTAAAGTAGTGTAAATGTAAAGTTTAAAAGAAAATATTTATCTTGGTATATTGGTCAAATAATTAATAAGATAAAACTTAAATCGTATCATCATAATAAATATAACAAGTGCCGTGCATGATTTTAAAACAATTTCACTTGCTTATAATAATTATTTCACTATCATTCAAATAAATCAAACATGATCCGAAAATATTTTGGCCATTTGTTCAAAGTAAAAAGCGCTATTCCCGAACACCAAATGAACTTTCTTGGATAATGTTCAACATAATGATCTCAATGATTTAAGTTTATCAAATTACATCTGTCAGTTTAATTCCAACTTGTTTCAGTTTACCGAGAATGATGTTCGCACATCTATTTTGAAACTGAAAAACAAACTGACATGCGAAGATGTTCAAATCCCGTTTTTTAATAAAAGATTGGTCGGGAGTTTTTATCGCACCACTACTTCAATTGTTTAATCTTATAGTCTCTTCAGCAACTTTTCCCGATATCTAGAAAATCTACTGTATTCAATCTGGCTCACTTTACTCACTGTACAACATATCATGTGGACAAGGAAAGACAAGTTGACGTGGTGTATACAGATTTCTAGAAGGCCTTCGACAAAATTAATTACGGCATAGTTTTTAATAAGTTAAAGTCATTCGGGTTATGCGATAACTGATCAATAGTAATCATTAATAAATAAAATAAAAAGAAGTGAAACGTAATGTGTTCAGGTGTGGAGCAAAATTTTGTTACTTACGTACCTAGCTTCTTGTCTGTTTCTTAAAAGATTGTAAAAGTTTAAACTGATTGTAAAGATAGACTAACAGTAATGCTATATATTGAAACCAAACTTTAATGGAAAGTTTATTTCTAACAAAAGCAGAAGAATAGACTTTCACTATAAAAATAATGTTGAAACCCTTTTCCTTATATTTCAATGAGACTTAAATAAAACTGCAGAATTATATTTATTTCTTTCTAATACTTTATACCTAAATTTTTTACTTTAAGGAGCTAAAGCTTTCACTTTTACGTTTTTTTTATATCAAGGTACTTATCAAATTCTCAAGGAAACTTTTACTGTAAGAACATATTCTTATATTTATTGAAAGTATCCACATCGAGTGATAGATGGCGAAAGACGAAAGAAAATTACAACAGCAAGTAACTAAATAGTTAAATCCATTTCTGAAGGAAGAAAAAAGTTTGTAATTGATTGGCTCTTTGTATTGGAGGGGATTTAGAATACAATGTGTGGCGAAATTACTAAGTAAGAAATAAAAAAGAAGCAAACTAATAAAAGTTTGAAATATGCACAGAAAAAGGAAGTTAATTAATTGAAATAAAGGGAAAAATTTGGGTATTTAATGATGTTTTTGTTCTTTTAGTATGTACTTTTCGTTGTGAATATAAAAATGTTAAAATCCTAGAGACATACAGATTGCTACACAAAATTTTTAATATCAATGAGAGACAAAAAAAATTGCTCGAGAATTGGGGAACTTAAAGTAAATATTTGCTAAATAAATATTTGCTAAATTAGAAAATAGTATTAACTTTTAAATAAAAATATCGCAAACATATTTTTTGTCCACCTTATTTTTTATTTTAAAACCGGACGCCTAGGACTAAAATCAAATTTAGTTTTCCAGAATTTTTCTTTTTATAAGTTGCTCATCACCTTTATTTTGTTTCATTAATCTAACCAAAAATGTTCTAACAAATTATTTTGAATGCAAGATAGCTGCTACCGGTTCCATTACTTCATCAACATAATTTATGATATTTTGTATGTAGACAACATAATTTATATTTTAGATGTAGACAATATTCTTCACAAAATATGTATTGACGTAAGGTGCTTTTTTTTTCAAAAAACAGAAACTCAAGATATTGGAAGATTTCTCCAACTCTTCACTTTACACTATTCTACTTTACATTTTTCAAAAAAAAAAAAAAACAGTTAACATGAGGGTGCAGAGTGAAAATTGACAAGTTACAGTTTCATAAAACACGTAACATTAATGCAAAAGACACTTTTCTAATTATGTAGAATGAAGAGTCGGGAGTGAAAAGTTGAAAAGTACTTTCAAAAAACAGGCCCCTGGATCTCTTTCTATTTTTTTGTATAGCACGAATTACTTATTTTAAGGGCGATCCGATACAAATTCGAATTCTGATTTACTATTAGGTCCCCAAAAAGCAACTGCCAATTTATCTCTCTTTTGTACAACCTCTTTATGGAACGGATTTCTGTACAATTAATTCACTGTTGTTTTCACTTATTTCTGATATATTGTCATATTTCTTGACGTCATCGTCAGTCAGAATCTATTCTAAATAACATGAAATCGTTTTATCTCCGTTTTACAACCAGCCTGCAGACAGCTTGTATAAATCTATAACTCTTTTCAAACATCCTTGTAAAAGATATACAAATATTGAGTGTCTTAGTTTTAATTACCGTTTATGCCCGTGTTGATATTTTCACAATTTTTAAAGACTATTTGTTGAGTGTTTAAATTTGTCTATAAAAAATATAAAGTTAGAAATCGAGTATGGAACTTGCCTATATTTCACATTACAAAGAACAGAAAATTTACCAATTTTTGTCCATTATAACTCTTTATAAAAGTGAAATGAAACTAAGATTTTACAAAGCGTTGGCATTATATTTAACAAGTAAATTAATTCATAAATCCATATGATTTTTACAACTTTGAAAACAAATTATTACTTTGCAGAATTACTCACATACATTAATTTCTGCTTCTTGTCTTCTAATAAATATGTATGTTTCGTACAAGTTTTGGTCGATCACTTCTTATACATTAGTAAATTACATTGAAACAAAATTATTTACGATATTTACGTTAATTTTTCCAGTTTGTAAAATATTTAGTTCAGCTGATTTGAAACTGATGTAAGAAAAAATTAATTTTTGAATCATCTAATGGTTTCTTAAAATTTGTATAAAATTTATTACTATTTTATTTTTTTAATGACAAATACATACTTAGTTGAAAAGTTCAACAAGAATAGTCTATCCAGTCTAATATGACATAGAATATAAAATGATGTAGACTTGTACATATCT